AAAACGGAGCTTTGATTAACTGATTCACCATTTATACTAGTGAACTATTAAACTATCGTGATTTACACAATTTTTGGATATTTACCAGACGATCCCCTATCCACCGACCCGAGGTTAACGCCGAGTCGGCGTCTTGTTATATATCAATAGTCAAAGTCGCATTTTTCTAGTGTTTTATTGGTTGAGAGCATATCACGTGAGAGTGACAGAAATGAGGCTGTCTCCCTCACAACAACGCGAGAGGGAGATAATACGTTATCGACCGGCGAATAACAAAAAAATCACGCGCGCCATCACGTGAAGGTGCGACCTTTGGACATGCCTAGTACGTAATTAAAACTTTCGCTTTAAGTAACTGCAGTGTAGACAGTGTTTAATATAACGTTTTAATAATAAAATATTTCATGTTTTTCCGTTCATTTGTTCTTTAATTTGTTGTTTCTTTATCGACGGTCTCGCGGGTCCACAAAACGCACTGTTTCTCTCTGTCTCAGTAAATAAGTGATAAATATTAAACACTGGCTACACTGCAGTTACACTTAAAGCGAAAGTTTTAATTATGTACTAGGCATGTCCAAAGGTCGCATCTTCACGTGATAGCGCACGTGATTTTCTTTGTTATTCGCCGGTCGATAAGTCCAGGTGCGGATTTAGACAGGTTTGACAGGTTTATATAAACCTGTCAGATTTTCCAAAGAGAGAAAAAACCTTCCATGTATATAACTAATTTAAAGAATCTTCTGTTTCATAAAATTGATGTTGTCTAATCTATTACGCCACTTAATAAACACTGTTGTTGAAATTTGATTACGGATTACCGAGCGTATAATTATAAGGACTTATCGCCCTGCATGGTTTCCTCTTACGAAATGTTGTAATACTAGACTAATAATCTGCGAATATATCGTCGTGGGTCGTGGACTTGTAAACATCACATGAATCACACATAACTGCCCGCAATTATGAGTAAACCGGTGGTCAGAGTTTTCTCCATGAGAGTAAACCGGTCGATACGCCATTCGATTGGCTAAACGGCTGTGCTCCGGCGGATGTAAACCGGTCATAAACCTGTGAGTCGAGCAGTATTTAGAGAAAACTGGGCATGAATGTTAACAGAACTCGAGGACGCGCGAAATATGTTTATAATTTTGCGTGACTGAATCTTTGCGTTGGCGATAGAAGCATTTACATGGATTTCTTGTTCATTTTGAAGGTTTGTTGAGAAGTATATTGTCTAAAGTTATAACAGTAAGCTATTTCTACTTACAGTATAGTAAATATCGATTCATAAACAAACGTATCGATGTTTATACGTGTAACTACAGTCTATACTCATGATAGCGCGAAATATGATAATGTACGTATAATCTTGCGTGACAGAATCATTGCGTTGGCGAGAGAGAATCAGGAAATGATTGTGATTATTTGTGAAGCTTTATTCACGCTCTTGCAGTTTGGTTTCTAGTTCATTGTTAAATTTGGTTCGAAAGCGTATAATCTAAAATTACAACTATGTTTATATTAAAAGCATCTCTACTTGTACTTATAATAACTATTGATGCGTCAGCAATTCAGTTGCCAATCCTATATTTTCAGTACTAGCTAATAGGTTTCCGAAAAGGTTCAATTCATCGTTTGAGCTGCGTGTTAGTCCAAAATTCTCTTAAAAGATATATTTTCTAATCATTAAATTCATTTAAAAAGTGACGCCAGAACGCAGGAAATGCTGTTTCAGAGGCCCAAATTTTAAAAATTTTCCGGGGGAGCATGCCCCCGGACCCCCCTAATGGTTGTGTGGACCTAGTAAACCGGTCACCCAAAACGCTGAATTCGCCCCTGCGTCCTCGTATTGTTTATTTTAATGGTTCTAAATCAAAGTATGTTATAAATCTCGGTCATAGTTTCAAATCATATAATTACAAACTCTTTCTTGTCTTTGATAATTACATGAAAATAATGTTATTCAAATTGCCGCTGGATTAGGGACCTTGGCTTAGGCATGTTGGATGGCAACACGACGGCAAACAAGCTCGGTGAATTAAATTGTAAAGAAAACATGCATGTCGTCTATTTCCATCGTATATAAAACTAATACAGCTTGGGGATCGAGGTTATTTAATTAAGACAGCTGTTATGGTTGAGAAGAGTTCTACAACCAATCTAAGTATATCAGTTGCCCCAGCTTGTATAATAGGCGTACGCGTGAGACAGAGAGAGAAGACGATATTTAAAACTGGATTTTATTCATTCATTTCTAGATCAGTGATCAATAGCCGTCGTCGTTGCATTTCCCTCCTGCTTGCTTACCGATTCTAATAAATGTTATTTTATTAAAAATGAAAAATTTAAGTTTGTTCCTTGTACTGTCACGTCTCCGTACTTAGGTTCAAGATATACTTTGCATCGCCTCCCCCCCCACCCTCGTACTGTCAATCTTGAATTCGGGCCTTTTTAACATGTAAGCCGACTGGTCCCTTTTGTCTAAAATATAAGCAGAAAAGAGACGAACAGCTTACACTGTAGTTCACAACAATATTTTAATATTCCCATACTGATTACTGAAAGCTGGGAAAGGTCCTCCCGAGAGGATCCCCAAACCCACATGTTCACAATTTTCCAGTTAACCACCTCCTAAGTAGATCCCTTTAATTTTCTTGATTCATTTCCACCCCCACCGACTAATTCTTAAAAAGTCCCTATATATAATCATTGTCCTGTAACATTAAACTTTACACTTTCTGCCTTCTTTAATATATACATTTTCTGAATGATATATGTATTCATTTTACCCATATTTTGCGTTTTCCTTTCTAGGAAATCCAGGCAGTAGCGACGTATATGTGGACACTGGGGCCGTCATAAAATGCCAACGTTTGGCAGTGTATCTCAAAGATGGCTCTAACGTATTCCTGAATGGCACAGTAACATGCACTACGTCATTTAATAGTCTGAATGTTCGAGTTATATCTGGCAATCTGCATGTAAGTGTGAGCGGGATTCTAGGAGAAAAGGTCTTCACAGACAACGTATCCGATAAAGATATCATGAAAACAAATAAGACGAAAAATCAACACACGGACAGTTTCAATGGATATAAAACTCCACCAAGCACGTTAGAACAGAACAGCAAGATCGACCCATCCTATAAACAGGATGCAAAGACTGACTCGTCAGATCAACACAATACCAAGGCCGAAACAAACAAACTGTATTTAGAAATTGTCGAAGGGAACTTGACAAATTTTGGTAGAATCTGTGCTAAAGAGTACCTGTTGTTGATCTGCGACACCTTGATGCTCTGTGAGGATTCCGAGTATGATACAGCATCAAGAGGGTTTCGCAGTTACACTGCATTGCAAAAAGAATCTGGATTTTTGTCAAGTATTTGCGTACAAGAAAATCCAAAGCAAAGCTCTTCGTCTTATGATCCTCGATTACTTCTAACTGTGCGAAGTCTTGATTCTAAACGTTTGATATCCATTTTGAATGAAGAAGTCGATCCAACGGTCGAAGTAGATGATCGTAGTATCTACACTGAATTTAATAATATCTGTAGGGAAGGAAGTAGAGCAACTTACGATAAAGATAAAGTGGAGAAAGAATTGATACGTGGAAGTTTGAACACCTGGAAGTGGAAACATGGTGTAATTTCCTCTACATCAATAAAGTGTGTAGTGAAACAAGATATTAATGATTGTTCACAACTTCAGAGCAAGGAATTAACTTTGCAAGTCGACGGAACTGCAAGATTGGCAAAACCGTGGACATGGAAATGTGGAGAATTGTCTGGTTTTGTGAAAGGAGACTTTCTTTTCCATGATAACGCTGTGCTTACAAAATTTAACAAACTTTGTGTGGTTGGTAATTTCCGAATTTTTCGAACATCCAGTGTCCGTGTTCACGAAGGTGGTGAGCTAATCATTGGTGAGGAATTTGAAAATAACAGTGTTTTATACAGTGATAAAAATCTTAGTTTAACTCTTGGTTATCTGAAACAAGCAAGAGGGAGTTCTATCCACAGCAATGAAGATCTTCTTGTGGCTTTATATAAGAAAATTGAGGATATTTGGTTTGGAAATATCTATGCTTATCATCATCTCTTTCTCCAGGTGCGAGAACGAGTTGTTTGTGACGCTTTATGTGTTGCAAAAGAAGTTCATCTGGAATTCTTCGGAGAGCGTCCGCAATTCGTTGTCACACAAGTTCTTCTTGCTGAGGAAGGCAGCTTGAACATGTGGGCTGAAAATGAATATGAAAGCGCTAATTTTCTCTTGTCTGGAAAACTAAGTTCTCATGGAATCCAAGCAGAAACAGCAAGTGTGTGCGTTCTGCCTGGTGGAGTTGCCGAACTCACTTGTGAATCAAATGTCAATGAAGTTGATGTGATCACAAGATGGCTGAATATCAGCAATCAAGCAGTCATGATAAGCAAATCGAAAGAAAACAAAGAATCAGAAATCATAGAGAATTTTAACTTAACAACCAACGTTTACTGTGAGGAATCTCTTGTTGTTGATGGGGCTTTGGGGGCCTTTGGTTCAGATCTTAGCATTTACTGCGAGGCCTTGAGAAACAACGGAGTAATAAAACTATCTACAATTGATCGTTCCTCCAGCTTACTTCACATTGAATGTGACAAAGAGCTTTTCAACTCTGGCACAATTGGATCAGAAGGAAACATGACCATTGATGCGATGATTGTCTCTAATGAAACTGGTGTGATAAAGTCTTCACCAAGTCTTAGAATTTCTACAAATTTTCTTGGTGCAACATCATTGTGTGGCCAAATCCTTGTCGACAAACAACTATTTATTCATTCAAAATCAGAAAAAGAGCTTATGTTGAATGTGATTGGTGGAAAAAGCGAAGGTGAGCGGCATTTTATCCCTCCTGATCAACTTGAAGTGAAATGCAAAAAGGCTGATTTAAAAATCGATTCAAGTATCATATGTCCGGAAATAAATCAACAGCTGTCAAACGAAAACGAAGGTGAGAGTTCTATAATGGTTCTCAGTCTACACAAGTGTTTGAGTCTAACAAAAGAATGTAAATTGGAAGATGTTCGTGTTCAATTCATCCAGATTGAACAAGAGGACAACAACAATTCAGAAGAACCCTCAAAATTCGTAGTCCTGGATTCATTTAAAGTAAAATCACTTTATCTTTCTTCTGGAAATGCGCTGGAGTCTGATGTGGTAAGGAAAGGCACGGTATCGTTTGGAGGTTCAAACAAGTCAACTGTTGTTGATACTCTTGAAGTCGATGAAGCAATTCGTGAAGTTATATTTGGAACAGAAAATCTGTTTGTTTGCACAGATGCAGTTCTAGACTGTGAAATGGCTACAATAAAAACTGACAGTGTTCTAGAGTGTTCGGAAGTTCACGCAAACAACGTGAATGTTTATGGACAGATGAGATGCATGGGAAGAAGCTCCGAAGAAAAGAAATCCTTGGTTAAAGTTAAGAATACTTTCAGTGTAGACGGCAGTGTTGAATGTGCTGGTTCTGTTGAAATCTTCATTGGTGAATCATTTGTACAAGCAGAAGATGGAAATATAGCCGTAGAAGGAGACCTTCTATTAAAAATCGTCAACGAAAATGGTCACCTCTCTTTGGAAGGTTCGACTAAAGGCCAAAAAGAATCAATTATGAAAGTTGAAAGTGATAACATCAAAGTTTCAGGATGTTTGTCAGAAGTTCATACTCTTAGTTTAAACGCCGAAATGGACATGGCACTTTCCGAGAAAAGTAGAATTTCATGTGAGGAAATTGACGTGAAAGGAGAATGGATTACAACTGCAGGAACGATTGATGGATTCAACAAACTGAGCATCGAACCATGGGCAATAATGAACTCTGGTATTATTGATTCCGAGAACGACTCCTCTAATATTTTCTTCCAGTCTGATTTAACCATGATTAACAGTGGTATTTGTCGTGCACAGATGACGTATCTCGAAGCACCATTCTTGTTAAATCTTCCTGGTAAAGTAATTTCTGATGTGAATGACGTCACTTGTTGCCAATTGGTTGGTAAAGAGCAGCTTAAGTTAGAAAGCATTGCCTGTTTTCTGGGTGGTTCTTCTCTTCGCTCGTGTAAAAGATACGAGAATTTGAGCGTGTTGCTGTTCAAATTTTTAACCTATGTTGCCTGCACGCCTGATTCGAAGAGTTTAGAGGCATGGTCGAAAGCAGCAGAGTCCCTGAGGAACATTCAATCACAGATTACTCCCGATGCTAGTAAACAAGATTCGACCAAATTAAAAACCCTGATGAATTCGAAGGATATAGTTACAGGAACCGAAGTTGATTTGAGGATTGCGAGGATGTATGACATGGTTAACGATTTTGTTGCTCTAATTTTGAAGAACGGTATCAAGTCGTTTGATGCAACGGAACTAGTGCATATCCTAACAATCGAGAGTGAACGATACACGAAGATCAACATTTTAAAGGAAAAATTACTAAAAATTCCAGAAAGAGCGAGGGCGATACGTGAGCTAATGAAAAAAAGAGCAATCAGAATAAAGAAATCAGTCAGAAAAAAGTTTGGATTTTCAGATCCTAAAATGCAAAGTCAACAACAGGATGGCATCTTTGAATCTGGATTTTACTCGTTTGGTGAAGGTGTTACATTTACTGACTTCCTGTATGAAGCCGCATTTGTTGAAGTATTTCGCGATGAAGGTTTCTTATTTGCTGTGGATTTCTTAGCTAGTGCCAAAGATGTCGTTTTGAGTAAACGAGAAAAGAAAGCGGTGGCAATGGTAATATATTCAGAAAAACTAAACATGGAAAACGTTGATGCTGTCTATGCACAGGTTACGACTGATGAAGCAAAACTTAAGAACATCAAAACTAAAACGTTGGATGTGAATGCACGTGAATCCGTTGAAGCAGAAAAAATTACGAGTGATCAACTCCAAATACAAGGAGGCAAAGACTTGAAAGCTACAGAGGTGTGTGCTCAGAACGCTGTCATGACAGCCAAGAATATAAAGCTTAAAGGTATCAAATCAACGAACTTACTAGATGTTCAAGCAAGTAAAGTAGTAGATCTAACAGACATCCAAGGTTCCAATGTTCAACTGCAAGCCAAAGATATCAGCGCAACAAATGTAGATGCAAATACCGTTGTTTTAAATGCGACCAATCATGCACGCCTCGAAGACATTAACTCTGACAATTTAAATGTAAAATCAAGTCAAACAATCGTTGCAGAAAGAATAAAAGGGAAAAGTGTTCACATGGAAAGCAATAATATCAATGTTTCAAAATTAGATGCAAAGAATGCAAGTGTCAATGCCGCAAATAACGTACGTCTTAAAAACATCCAGGCTGACAACTTACAAGTACAAGCGACAAAAACAGTCGATGCAGAAAACATAAAAGGGAAAAATATTCACATGGAAAGCAGAACGATAAAAGCTAGCAATGTTCGCAGCGAACTAGCAGTATTATCTGGTCAACAGGACGTTCAAGTTGGGGATATAAAGAGTAAAACGGCATTGATCAAGTCATCCCAAGGAAAGGTAAAGGCCACTGGCAAAATTGAGTCACACAATGCGAAAATTGAAAGTCAAAATGGAATTGACCTAGCTTACAACAAGAACGGGAGTTTAACTGCTGATCATCAGTTTAGAAGTCTACAAATGAAGACAAACAAGATTAATGAAGTCAATAAATTGCTTAAGGGAGATGGAATTTATAAAGATTTAAAAATTTCTGATCAACTTGGTTTAGTTGTGTCAGATCAGGATGTAATTTTTTCAAGATGTGTTGTTCAACAAAATTACAAACTAGATTTAAATGCAAGATCCGTGAATATTGACAATGCTTCGTTAAATTGGAGCAAAGGAGCATCGATTACGTCAGATAAAACAATGAAAGTAAATGACTCATCAATTACATCACAAAAGTCTATTTCTCTTGAATCAAAGTCAGGAGATGTCAACATGAATTTGTCTGAAGTTAAAGCTGGTGAAATTGCAAAGATTGAAGCAAGAAAAGGTTCAGTATCACTGAGCGGTACTTCAATTTCTGGTGATCAGGCAGCAATTGTTAAAGCCAAAGGAGATGTAATTATTGATCCTGTGGTGGAACGTCATTCAAATTCTTCTAGCCGTAGAGGATTCTTTAGTTCTTCTAGACAGTCATCTTCTTATTCAACTGTCACCAAATCAGGTATCTCATCATCCAAAGGAATAGTTGCAGTTGAAGCAGAAGAAGGCAAAGTTCAAGCAACAGCAACAGAATTTACTGCAGAGAAAGGAGTTTTTATTTCGGCCAAGAAAAATATTATAATCCAAGATAAAATAACCATCCGTGAAGAAGTAAGTGTCAAAAAGAACTGGTTTCGAACAAAGAGAAGCGTACATAGAACTGAAGAAAGCCATAAATCATTGATAAATTCTCGAGGTCCAGTTTGTATGAAATCAAAAGAAAATATCCGCATTACTGGAACCGATAGTGCTGTTCAAGGTGATATGTTTCTTGAAGCTGCAGGAACTGTCTTGATCCAGGACAGAATATTATCAAAGTCAGAAGAGAGACATACGAGTGGATTCTCTTTTTCCCCAGAAAAAGGGTTATCGTGTGGAGAGTCAAACAAACAACTTCATCAACAACAGCTAGCCGGTTCAAAACTACAAGTTGGAGGAAATCTCGTTATGAAGGGCAAAAATGTTTTTGTTAAAAACGCAATGGAAATGGACACCAAGAATTTGGTTGTCGATGCAGAAAATGTTAAATTCGAAGGAGCTGAATTGAACAACTCATATTCAGAAAGAAGTTCCTCGGTAAACTTTGGTTTTATGTCCTTCGATATTACAGAAGAGAAAGGATGGGGAAAAGAGAAAAAAATTATCAATCAGAACATAAATGTGCTTGGCCAAGCAAATTTCATTAATTGCAAAAACGTTACATTGGCAGCTAGTAACTTGGATACTGGAGCAATCTCCGGATATGTTGAAAATCTTAATGTAATTTCTAAGCAGACGGAAGTTGAAGCTAAAAAGCAAACAGAAACTCTCGGCTTTGTTGTAAGCGGGTGCCTACCAGTTCCCAGCAAATATGGTGCGAGTGAAAGTTGTGACAAGGGGAAATTTGTTGAAAAGTCAAGTGGGATTCACGTTCGTGGATCTATTAATAACGAGTTTAAAGTAGGTACCGTGTATTTGAAAGGCTCAGCTGTAACAGCAAACGGTGACATTGCTAAGTTTGTCGATAATGTAATATCGGAAAAAATAACCAGTTATCGATCTCAGACGACGTCGGGATTTAATTTTGGCATTAGTAAGACAAGTGTTGAGTTAGGAATTCATCAAAGCGAGAAATTCATGGAAATGGAGCATAATGCAACAATTGGGTCATTTTCTGGAACTGTTGCCAATGAAGTAAAACAATCTGTAAACACAGATCTTTCTAAACATAGCCAAATAACACAAATGCGTAATTCTAATTTAGGATTTAATGTTAGAGCAGGAAAAGACGGTGGTGCAGCATCTCTGCAAGTTGATGATGTCGGTGTTGGATTTTCCGCTTCAAAACACGAAATTGGAGTTCGTGGTCAAGTTGGTGATAAAGGATTTAGTGCTTCTGGTGGATCATCTGGTGCTTCATTATCTTTGCAAAATGGGGAAAACAGTATAGGAGTTGGTTTAACAAATCAAGGCATTGATATGAACATTCGCTCAGGGGATACTGCAATCGGAGCATCGCTTGGAAAAAATGCTATATCTGCCACAGCCCAGTCTAAAGACGTCTCTCTCGGAGCCTCTACCAGCAACGGATCCACAACAGTTCAAACAAAAATAGGCGATTTTCAAAGTGGTATAACAAGAAACGAAAATTTAGAATCTGGTGAACGATCAACATCAGCATACATCAGCAAAGGAGAATTTGAAGTTTCTGGAGCTACTTCAAAACACTCAAAATCATTTGCATTGAAAGGTGGAGAGTACGGATTTGGGCTTGAAAAATCGAAGGAAACACCAGCAGCAAAATCAAAATACTCCGGGAACATAAAAGCGCGAAATATCGAAATTGAGGCTTCGTCTTCAAAATACCACAAAACGTTTGGACTGACAGCTGGAGAATATCAAACTAAATTCAACAAAGAAAAGGATGCAAAGACAGGAAAGTCAAAATATGATGGAAATCTAAGGCTAGGCGATGCCAAATTAGAAGCTTCATATTCGAAAGACAAGAAATCTTTGGGAGTGGAAACGCCAGAATTTCAAACTAAATTGAACAAGGAGAAAGATTCAAAAACAGGAAAGTCAAAATATGATGGAAATCTAAGGCTAGGCGATGCCAAATTGGAAGCCTCATATTCAAAAGACAAGCAATCGTTTGGACTGGAAACCCCAGAATTTCAAACTACATTGAACAAGGAGAAAGATTCAAAAACAGGAAAGTCAAAGTATGATGGAAATATAAGGCTTGGTGATGCCAAACTGGAAGCTTCATATTCAAAAGACAAGCAATCGTTTGGACTGCAAACTCCAGAATTTCAAACTAAATTGAACAAGGAGAAAGATTCAAAAACAGGAAAGTCAAAGTATGATGGAAATATAAGGCTTGGTGATGCCAAACTGGAAGCTTCATATTCAAAAGACAAGCAATCGTTTGGACTGGAAACCCCAGAATTTCAAACTAAATTGAACAAGGAGAAAGATTCAAAAACAGGAAAGTCAAAGTATGATGGAAATATAAGGCTTGGTGATGCCAAATTGGAAGCTTCATATTCACAAGACAAGCAATCATTTGGACTGCAAACTCCAGAATTTCAAACTAAATTGAACAAGGAGAAAGATTCAAAAACAGGAAAGTCAAAGTATGATGGAAATGTAGGGCTTCGTGATGCCAAATTGGAAGCTTCATATTCAAAAGACAAGCAATCGTTTGGACTGACAACTCCAGAATTTCAAACGAAATTGAACAAAGAGAAAGATTCAAAGACAAGAAAGTCAAAGTATGATGGAAATGTAAGGCTTTTTGATGCCAAATTGGAAGCTTCATATTCAAAAGACAAGACATCTTTTGGACTGGCAACTCCAGAATTTCAAACTAAATTGAACAAAGAGAAAGATTCAAAAACAGGAAAGTCAAAATATGATGGAAATCTAAAGCTTGGTGATGTTAAAGTTGAAGCTTCATCTTCGAAAGAAAAGGCATCTTTTGGACTGGCAACTCCGGAATTTCAAACCGAACTAAACAAAGAAAAAGATTCAAAAACAGGAAAGTCAAAATATGATGGAATTCTAAAGCTTGGTGATGTTAAAGTTGAGGCTTCGTCTTCGAAAGACAAGAAATTGTTTGGACTGGAAACTCCAGAATTGCAAACCGAACTGAACAAAGAAAAAGATTCAAAAACAGGAAAGTCAAAATATGATGGAAATCTAAAACTTGGTGATGTTAAAGTTGAAGCTTCGTCTTCGAAAGACAAGGCATCTTTTGGACTGGCAACTCCGGAATTTCAAACCGAACTAAACAAAGAAAAAGATTCAAAAACAGGAAAGTCAAAATATGATGGAATTCTAAAGCTTGGTGATGTTAAAGTTGAGGCTTCGTCTTCGAAAGACAAGAAATCGTTTGGACTGGAAACTCCGGAATTGCAAACCGAACTGAACAAAGAAAAAGATTCAAAAACAGGAAAGTCAAAATATGATGGAAATCTAAAACTTGGTGATGTTAAAGTTGAAGCTTCGTCTTCGAAAGACAATGCATATTTTGGACTGGAAACTCCAGAATTGCAAACCGAACTGAACAAAGAAAAAGATTCAAAAACAGGAAAGTCAAAATATGATGGAAATCTAAAACTTGGTGATGTTAAAGTTGAAGCTTCGTCTTCGAAAGACAAGGCTTCTTTTGGATTGGAAACTCCAGAATTTCAAACTGAACTAAACAAAGAAAAAGATTCAAAAACAGGAAAGTCAAAATATGATGGAAATCTAAAGCTTGGTGATGTTAAAGTTGAAGCTTCGTCTTCGAAAGACAAGAAATCTTTTGGACTGGAAACTCCAGAATTTCAAACTAAATTGAACAAAGCGAAAGATTCAAAGAAAAGAAAGTCAAAGTATGATGGGAATCTAACACTTGGTGATGCCAAATTGGAAGCTTCATATTCGAAAGACAAGAAATCTTTTGGACTGCATAAATCTCCAGAATTTCAAACCGAACTAAACAAAGAAAAAGATTCAAAAACAGGAAAGTCAAAATATGATGGAAATCTAAAGCTTGGTGATGTTAAACTTGAAGCTTCGTCTTCGAAAGACAAGAAATCTTTTGTACTCGAAATGCCAGAGTTTCAAACTGAAATGAACAAAGAAACTACTTCAACATATCCAGAAACGAAGGGTGATGGAATTGCGTGTACATCTGTGCAAAGTTTGGAATGAAACGCTAAAGCGGGGTCAGTGAAAATGGCTAAAGGTTTGTTTTGTTTTGTTTGCTTTTTTCAGAATCTTGGTTTTAGTAATAGTTTAATTTGAGACGTTTTCATGTTGTGACGACTTTTCCACATATTGTTCGTTAACTGTATTTTCCGAAGGTTGACAACGAACTTTGGAACTCCGTTGTGGGAAGTGATGTACAAACTTTCGACCTTGAAAGGGAACTATAGAACATAGAATTTGTGAACTTAAAAAGACTGAGGTTGTTCGAATCTCGGTGTATAATTATTTCCTTTTGACAAGTAAATTCTAGTTGTTCTATTGTATAATATGAAGCGGAAATACGCGTTTGACAACGGAAACATTTCTTACGCCATACTTTAATAATTTGGACCCGTACGAAAAAAATGACGGGCGGAACCGTGCCAGTTGTCCATTATGTGGCACAGTTCCGAAATAGTGCCATGCGGTGTAAACGTAGTGTTTGTTAACCTTATCCAGTTGTGGGATTACGTCTCTTGTCGTATTGCAAATACAGTTGATCTTCCAAATACACGAGTTTGGAAATACCAATGTTCGGGCGTATGTAGTGATTGCTAATATTCTATATTTGTATTTCTCTAGGTGATGTTTCCATCTGCCATGCAACGGTCGTGGACTGACCTGTATCGATTACGTTACTCATTAGACTGTGTTTTTGTAACTTTGTAGATTGTAGAGGTTTGTGTTATGAAAATATTTTAATAAGTAGAATATATAGTTTTAAACTAGTTCATAAGTTAGTTTCAGTTAGAAGAACCACTTGATTAATTAGGCCATAATTAGTTAAGCATGATTGGGCAGTCAATAGTTATATAATACTCTAAATTCGTGTCATCCCCCCATCGTGAACAGGTTGAGTTCTCCCGAACAACAGTGAGTATGGGAAATATAACAGCATAACGTCAATGAAAACGTGTTCACTAACATTTTTACTCATACGCCAATACGTTCTTAATTGTTCAATTACTAGCCAACACTTATAACGTTCGAACTCCTGTGGGGTGTTTTTGCATGTCAATTATTTGACTTCTTAACACTTGTTTAAGAGAAAGATTGCGTTTGAGAGTAAGATTGCTCGAATACACAGGACCTTTTTTAAGAAAAGGAGGGGGCATCTACAGAAAGGGATCGTGGACCATACTATACTGACTACCGAGAAATGTGTGGTGTCGTATGTAATGGTAGGAGGGGGGGGAGGTCTGGGGGTATTCTCGCCCAGACATTTTCGTATTTTTCCACCCCTAGGACTGCATTTCATGCGTTTTCTGAATACAATGTACACATACTCTGCGTTTTCGGAGTACGCTGTATATTTTGGTTATACAGCGTTATATTATACTTTAGAAAGAGTGAATCTTCTGTTAAGTATTTGCATGGTATATTTGTGTGAATACCACAACTCGGTCACTGTAACTTGTTTAGCCTAGCCTTCCAACAACTCAAATCTATAGGGTGTATAAAAAAAAAGGTAATCGAACTTCAGCGCGCTATTAGACGTGAATTACTTGGCGTATGAACAATTGGTTTTCATATTCGGAAAGATCAGGCTTTTAGCTATTGAATGACATGCTTTTCATGCCAAGTGGAGAAAAAATAAGCATGTACGAGGCCGATTAAAAATGTTAGTCAAAATCGCACATTTTCACCTCTGTGCCTAATTAAAACAATGCATAACAAAAGAAAAAGCAATTAATCACGAACGTGTCGTAGCTTAGCTAAGATTCATTCATACTTAATAATAATTATGAATATGTGTGCAGTTTAATGAAGTGAAATTCATCAACTTAAGTCCTAAAGGGGGTTCATTTTCAATGGTTTTAGACCCAACTCTCAATGGTGAAAATATGCGATTCTGACTAACATTTTTTATCAGATTCGTATTTGCTTATTTTTTATCCATTTGGCATGAAGAAGATATCATTCAATAGCTAAAAGCATTATCTTTCCGAATGTGAAAAAATCTCGTTCATACGCATAGTAATTCAGATACAATAGCGCGCTGAAGTTCGATTACCTTTTTTTTGATACACCCTGTACAGGGTGTCCCAAAAAAAAGTGACACTATAGAAATTATCCTATTATTATAATTTGAATGCCCTAGCACTAAGTTGATCCCATAGGTGCATAAACTTCTGCTTCTGGAATTTAAAATAAAAAAGCAAACCGTTTATTAGTGTAATCGTTTTGCTTGACTCGGGCGTTAAAATATTTGGACAAAGCGAAATAACAGAGACGACATAAGATTTACAAACCAAGGTTCAGTTAGTAGAATATCAAACCTCCCTTCTAGGTTCCATTTCTCTTCCAATGTTTTGCTAATATTTTAGAGAAAAGGGACCTTGACCTGGAGGGGAGGGGGGGCAAAATGGTTGACTGGGGGGCAGGGCACCATAGGGCCGGGGGGCTTGCCCCCCCCCTCCCCCCAGTTGCATAGTTAAAAAAGGCCCTGCGAATACAAGAATGTAAATGCAGTTGAACACCGCTATGTTGAACTCATTCACTTATCTCAAACTCCCCGCTCTTTCCAAATTAAACCCGTTTCCCGTGGATTTGCAATACAATAATTCGGAAAAATCCCCGCTATTTCGAACTAATTGTGCTTCCCTTGACCGAATTTACCCGATTATCTCGAAATCTAATGACTTTGAAATCATTGACGTTCGGAGCGTAACCATGCACATAAAAGAACTCATGAAATAAAGAATGCATTCCTTCAGTTTAAGATACCTGGTTTTATTGTATATTTCACGAATAAAACTCGTATCAATGGGTACCACGTAAATTTTATTGATTTTTTTAAAATTAATTTGGCACTGATTCGGTTATCTCAAAATTTTTTCTGTCCCCTTTGCTGTTCGAGATAGCGGGATTCAACTCAAATTTTCTGTTTTATGCGTCTAATGCTGTTGGAGTGTTGCCGTTCCAACTACCCAAACTCACTATTGAACGGGCGGTGAGGGGTTGAATTGTGCAAGAACTTTTGTCATAAATTGTAGACGAAATCAGAGTTTCGACTGCGCATCCATATGACTCGTTCTGCACTGGAAATAAGTTGGGGACTGGAAAAATTAGAATATCCATATCAGAGTATTGAACTTTTCATCATTATTTGTGTTTCACTTATAGCCACAATTTTTATACTAGCATATTTTGGCTATTGTGTATAAAGCAAAATAAAGAAAGGTACACCTAAGGGAAAATATTTTCTAATTTAAAGCGAATCAACCGCGTGTGGAAACTAATTGAAATGATGATTGAACTGTTCAATACATTGATATATATGCATATTCTTCCAGTCTCAGCTAGCGCAGAACTATTCTCGTCCTCACAGCCATTTTCACTCGGTCACTCGTTGAAAATTAGGCTCTGGTTAGACGACCAAATGGAGAGATCTGATTGGCTTCTCAGAGAATTGCTATTCCCCAGAAGTTGATCAGTTTTCGCCAGGCAAAATTATTCTATCAAAATATGTCAACACAAATACGTTTCTTTGTAACACTACTTCTCTGTGAAAATTGTTACGGGTGCTAAAGCGTCTCAATTTAAGAGTATGCGCTTTTGAAACTACTGCAAGTTTTCTTGCACTTCCGGTTCCGTGTACCTAGGGCCTATGAAGGTCGCGCGCGGCTGAGAGACCCTGGAAACGAGGATGGCGCAGAACGCATCATCTGGATGCGCAGTCGAAACTGCGATTTCGTCTATTGGATAGTGAATAGTTGACCTGCAGCACGTAAACGATTATATTTAGTTATGCAAATTTGTATTCGAAAAATCTAAAATCTGATTGATTACATATGTGAATATACAATGCTAATAGCAGCCTTATATGCGGATTATTTGTTATGATGGACGGAAGCAGGGCCATTTTGGCAAAACATTGCTGTGTGGACATGTCGAAAATGTTTACAACCAACCGGTTTACAACCAACGAGGTTGAGATGATATATGTTTTGCTATATCTTACATTGGAACCATTTTTTCAATCCTTGATTTTTCAATTCGGCCGAGCCAGATATATAAAAAATTAACGTATAGCTGTACGATTTGGATATTAAGCTATGTCAATGTCTATAGTTTTCGCAGTGTGCAATGGGGTCATTCGTTTCCGTGCTTAGATACAGGTCAGGTACAGGTGGGTTTCAGGCAATCCCAGCAGACGCCAACTTCAAATGAAATTCTTTTGTTTAAATGCCTTCCATGTACACTGAACTGGAGCATGATGAAAGCCACCTATTAACGCCGTTTTCCACTTCAACCGTATCGAACCAAAGCTTAGCGTATTTCTTTGTTTCCTGAGCATTAGAGTGAAACTAATCACTTCGACACAAAAGTGAATGCTACGATACGGTTGTAGCGAAAAACAGGCTTTAGAACTATGATTCGGACATGTGTAAATTACTTTGAATATAATATAATGTGGACTTAATACTTTAGATGTGCAAATATGTAATCATTTTGAACTTTGATAGTAAAATTATTTTGACATATTCCATAATATGAATTTCTTGATATGCAGTGAAAGGTGCCAGATCTTTTTGGCATACAAACACGAGTAGAATTATGGGTTGTGATTCCTCTTTATAAAACCTTTTGTATTTTTCAATAATCCTAAAGACGACGTCAATGATATGGTTGGTTAAAATCCAAAGTTTATGTAAAATATTTACAAGCTCCTTCACTACGCTCCTCCGCAGGCAACTTGATGGCAAACGGCAGAATTACGTAATATTGTGCATGGAGCAAGATGGTGGTAATAGAGGATTTCAAGGGATAATAGCGAAAGTAAGAACAATTCTATTTCTAGCCACTGATCTCTAGAAAGTATTGTACAATTCAGCCGTTTACAAGAGAGTCGCCTGCGGAGGAAGCTATTTCTTCACGGGCTAGATTTCTTGTGTTTTCTCACGAAACAGTGAGAATGCGGAAAAGAGAGCCCAAAAAGAGGAAAGGAGGAAAATGGCATAATTTCTTTGCCCCTTAACATCATCAACTGCTTCAGATATGGGAAGAAATTCATCCTTCAGCCCGCTGCCAGAGCCGTTGGTCACTTTTCCCTGACTATAGTCACCCTTGCAAACATATATTTTGAATAAGGAAAACTAAACGTCCACCTAAACGTTTCAACTTGTTTTTTACTAGAAAACTAACCCGGGTTGGAGATGGGTTAATTCTAAACATGCATAGGCTCAACCTCATTATTTTGAATAGAAACGTCAGAAACTGCGTTCAAATTAATTCATTTAAAAGAAATTAAAGAACTTTGCAATTGTTGTGTGAACTATGCGTGTATGGTACATATACTACATGCACCGGTAGTATAAAAAAGCAGGAAGGAACACATCTTTATACAAGGTTATGGACAAAATTTGTACAAATGTCAGTCAAATTTTGTCCAAACCTGTTTTGCATTTAAAATTTGTTGTTTTGGGGCTAATTTTTTGCTTTAGTAGTTCAATTTTTCCTTGCGTGTTATATTCTGAATGAGTAATGAGCTAACTTGTGGGCCCACAAACCGGAATTTTCAGCATGAGCTCCACCTTTGAATTTACTATATGAGTAAATTCTTAAACACGTCCGAATTTATCATTACGACCTTTGGGCGAATACTAGCCCAATGCTCTGCCAACTCAACCTCGCAAGCCAGGGTCTTTTACCTGCGCTTGGGCTCCGGCGAAGACCCTGGTTCCCTCTGGTCACGTGAACTCCCAGATTTTAGGGGCAATTCGAATTGCCGCCTCTTTGCCACTTAGGGAGGAGTGGTAGGGGAATTCAAAAGCGAAAACGAAAACATCTATAACTATTCCTATGGAAAATACGGCAATTTACGCTCTGTATTAACTCATTTTGGGTTTTGTCGGTTTTTATGTTATCTTTTATGAAATATATCACCGCTTGATCGAAAGCTTTTTACACCTACTTGATATAATTTGCCTGGCTGGAGGTCTGTTTTACACCTTGAAGTGGAGCCATTATTTATTAACGCAAAGAAAACAAAGGTCGAATGCACACTTATACAAAATCAAAGTACAGTATTCAGTAGCTCTCAAGCTATGGCACAGTGAAAGGAAACTCCAAAGATGATTTATCTGAAATCCGCTTTGTTTTCGGAATGCAAGTACTAGTGTCGCCTTTGTGATAGTATTATCGACAAGAAGTATTGCAACAACCTATTCTTAGAGCTAGCTAAATAGCGAAATAAAAAGCTGCTTCGTATCGCAGAATTTGTGAATTGTGGAACTCTTGCGTGTGATGACCGATGACGGATTTTCTAATCTTCCTAAATTAACATTAAACTAAAAGAATGGGGGCCCAAAAAAACATCCAAGACAGTGAAGTCAATCGAATGTTTAAAGAGCAACTGGAGGGATATCTGAAGAAATTATAAACAACTTCGACATAGCTGTAGGAATTAAGTCAAGAAAGCATCCTCTCACAAGCACAAATCTTCGGAGAAAATGTTATTTTATCTGATCTCTTGGAATTGAAACCATTTGCAATCAACATTATATGATCACTTTCATGAAGGGTTCTTCTCAGATATATCATCAGACTGGATACATTAGCAACATTATAGACAAATTGTCGCTGCATTTGATGACTATCTAAACAAAGGAACATTCACCAAGCACGTACCAGTGGACACATCAGAAGATGAAGAGGAATTATGACTGTGAATACTGTATTAAACACTTGCACGAATATGCAACACTGAGTTGTATGGCTACCAAGACTACCCTAGCTTGAAAGGATTGATAGATGCACAATTTGCACTTGTCCTATATTATAATGCAGCTATTCCAATCAAGGTTAGTGTCACAAACAATAGTTAAATGTACAAATGAACGCTAAAAAAATCCTATTTTAACACATCAATAGCCTCATGGGAATACAAATTAAGTGGAATTTATAATATATTTGAGGTTTAAACTTATTGAAAACTATCATTATTCCCATTATTCATTCACTTATTTAGCACTCATATTACTGTACATCTGACTATTGTCTGTGACAATTTTAATTGAAATTAAATAGCTGTATAGTTACAATATACTGTATGTCCTGTATAAATATGACATATATATTCAATTTAGAATTTTGTTCTGGTACTGCTGTATGGGTTTTTGTACTGTCCATGAAGTAAATTGAGTTTATATATGCAAATAATGACATATATATATATATATATATATATATATATATATATATATATATATATATATATATATATATATATATATATATATATATATATATATATGAGATAGTGCAACTTGTGCTCACTATAAAAAAAACTGAGTTAAAGTTTAGCAAAATTCACAGTTGTGATTAATTGTGTATTCATTTGGTACAAAGTAAAGAATATTTCACAGGCCCAAAAATATTTGTCTTATCAGGAAAAATCATTCCCTTTTCATATCTAAACTACACTCAACACATAAACATTGTGTTTTGCATGACACTACAGCATAAATTGGTCTGCAAATGTCCTCCAAGGCATCAATATCAGTGCTTGTATCTGAATGCCTTTTCGTAAAAGATATTCTTTCCCTCCGAATTTGCAACCAACTCAAAGCAATTATGCAAGCCAAGTGATTCTTTTATGTGCCTTTGGTGAAGTTTATATGCTGTAGTAGTCATGCAATAAATACTGGTATGTTAGTACAGTATACTACGTTTGGCATAAAGTGGACAAAATTGAGATCACAATATAATGGATTGAAAAATAACATGTAGAATAAGTTTTGTCTTTTGGTCAAGTTCAGCTACATCGCAATCAATCTCTTCGTTGTCACATTTTAATGGCTGCTGAAAAACATTTATTGCTGATACTCCGAGTTTTATCGCACATAATTTTCGAGCTGGATTGTTTATCATATCAAAGGCGCGTTCGCGATATACTGTAATGAGCAGCATTACTCATTCACACAAATGCCATGAGATGGACGTTCTTCCAACGCTCTTTTAGCGAAAAGCATCAATTGAAAGGCAAAAGCTGGTAATTCAGCGACTCGCCATATTACCGGTTGTAAGAATTGCCAGTATATACACACACCAAAGGACAGCTTTTCCAAGCAAATAACCTGCTTGGGCTTTAAAATAGTGTTTGCATACAAAATATTTATAATAGAAAACTGCATGCAGACAAATAAGAAAAATAATACATTTTAAATGTTTTTGAGTATTACAGTTGAAGTCACTTCTCATAGCTTTACAGTCACTCCTCGACGGGCCTTGAAAACACAACATTTAACCGGAAGTTGTAAATTACAACATATCACATTTCAACCACCCTCCCCTAGGACCTCTTGCTGCCCTGATTTTTAGGAGCTCACGTGACCAGAGGGAACCAGGGTCTTCGCTGTAGCGCCGTGCGGAAGTAAAAGACCCTGGCTTGCGAGGTTGCTGCCAACTGAGCTACGCGGTCAGGTCGGTTCGAGTAAGTGATATTTCGGAACAGAATCTAGTTCCTTCGATACCAATGTAATCTAATTGGCAGAGCATTGGGCTAGTATTCCAAAGGTCGTAGGTTCGATTCCCACCGTGACCAGGCATATTTTTCAAGCTCGCCCGGTGTGGATATACACTCAGAGTAACATCACAAACATCATATTCACCTGAGTACACAACACCAACACAGAAAAAAATATTATACTTTCTCACACATCATCAGATATTCATAGCATTTCGGCCAATGACATGTTGTAATTTACGTCACGTGTATCCATCTGGATAGCCCGTCTAGACCAGGACTTTAATTACTTCAAGTGGGAAGGGCTTTGAACAATAGGGAAATTGAGGGGTAAACAAAAGATTATGCAAATATATTTAATTGCTATATGTTTAGAATTATTTCTAAATACAGTAAGCTGTATGTAGAATTTTTTCTAACTACACTTTACATTTAACACTTTTTCTGAACGTTTGAAAACTACATAAATATAGGAAAACCAACTTTTTTACCAACTATCATAATAAACAGCGGCTTTTAAACAATTGAACACTACAGCAATAATACAGCAACTTACCAGTAATTTTACCGTCTAATTACTCTAATATATATTCACTTCGGCTTCTCCATTTTCCACCAGATAGCGCCTTATCGCACACACAATCTGATATATCGTTTTCGGATCTCTATAACCTTGTCAGCGAGTGGCTTTCCTTACTCCTTAGTACATTTGCAGTACTGTTCTCACCACTTTCTTGTTCTCGAAACCGCTTTTTCTTATATTATAAGAAGATGCCATGCTCTTTTGCCAACAAAATTCATCTATTCACGACGAAAGCGAACTGAATGCTTCGTTACACTTCATGCAAACTTTCAAGCAAAATTAGCGAATGTATTCGTTAATATCTAATAATTTCATGCCTCATTGCTATGAATGTCTAATGATGTGTGAGAAGCAATTTCAAATCCTCGTTAGTGTTTTAAACTTGGCCTCGCCATTGTTCATGACACTTGTATTTAGAAACCACGTCTAAAACACTAACTCGGATTTGAAATATTACTTCAAGTTTTAGGCTTCTGGCACGTTTATATAGAACCATTAAATCATGGCAAAAAGCTCTTGGGCAATGTTTCATATTGAAGCAATCCTATATAAAGTTGTTTACTAAATGATAACGTGATTTTTACACACTTTATTCAACCCGCGCGACTCAATAAAATACACAGTTTGGAGCTTTTTCACAACCCGCGACTTTTTACCCGCGACCCGCGACTTTCGACCCGCGACCATTAGTCAAACTCATACTGTATTAACGGCGTATTCTGTAATCGAGTTCTTCCGAATTTGCCGTGCGGTACGCTATTCAGTGGCTACGAATTTCGCTAGGTATCGCGTGTGTAAACCTGTAATACTTCAGTCATTTTACGATCAAAGTATTGTGTTCTTGACGAGGAAATGTTCTGTGAAGTGCGCATATTTCTGTTAGAGATAGAGAAACGAAGGTACATATAGTTGTACTCGCAGGTCGCAAGCACATATCAAATAACAGTATAGTGAGTCTGACACGGAATTACTCTAGGATTTCACTGCAAACACCTATATATAATGTACCATGAATGGCAAATACGTTTTAGAACATAACACAACATAAATATACCACGTAACGTCTATGTTTGGTAACTTGGGTTTTAGTTGACTAATAGCGCAAACACTGGTCACAAATTTCCTGTTCTTTAATTTGCACTC